TTTACGTTACGTTACGTACGTAGTATATATATATATATATATATATATATATATATATATATATATATATAAATATATATATATATATATAGTTGTGGAACTTTATAATGCATGCGAAAGATCGGTTCCCTTGGAGGTACTTTCATATGGTCGTCGATCACATCAACCTGCATAAACTGACAAGCATCCACTATGAGTGAATAGTGCCCTGCTTAGACTACGTACTAGCCTATGCTACTCTCACTTACCACATGGATACTCAAAGTATGCTTCAATGTGATGGTTTCGGGTTCAAGCAACTGATGAATCAGCTATTCTTTCTCGCCTATTCGAGCCGTCCCCCAGACCTTTCTCTCCCAATGCTGGTATAATTTCAACTCATTCAGCAAGACGCACCGCGTCTATTGAGACACCTCTGTTCTGTATCCATGTGGAGATCAATATGTATATGCACGCAAACACACATCAACATATTCCTATATAGCACGGCCCAATAACAATGACAATCCTGCAAAGATAAAGTATCCTTGCTCAAATCCTACACCCTCTATATAATACACACATGCAGCGGAAATGTTATGGGGTACCATGTGACCCAACCGTGTGCGTCGTGTCTAGAGGCATGTCACAACGGCCACTTCTGGATGCTGCACAGTGATGCCACCAAGGCACAGGAGCTGTTCACTACCGACGGCATGCTCATGCGCTGGGGCGGGTTGACTAAACAGAGCGAAGAGGACCTCGCGTGCTTTCAACAGGTAATGCGTACCATTCGATGTGTGTGCGGTTGCCGAGTGTTTATGCCTGGTTTTAATCATCAGGGGTTTTGTAGTATGGTGTGTGGGGGTAGGGTTCGAGTTGGGTTTTAAAGTCTGAGCTGAGCACACGCATGCAATATGCTCAGTTAAGGCGTTGGGTTCTGTGGTTACGTTTCCGCTTAAGTGTGCTTTTATACTCGTGCATTCAGTACATATCAGTCGTTATAAACACTTGCACTTTGCCCCTCATGCATGTATGAGAACCACGCTTGCATGGTAACAAGTAAGCAGCGGTGTGAATGTTCACTATTATAGCATATCACACTTCATAACTCATTCAAATGTGTGCTGTTTCATTGATGTAACTTTAGTGTGTATATGGTTTAACAGCGTGTGTGCGTTCTATGAGTATATCCATATGTGCAAGCACATAAATATACACCACTTCTTAGACGTTCGTGTGTACCTCTCATTTCACGATATCCTCAACTTCAACTTTCGCTGCTCACACTATTCCGAAGATATGAGTAACCTAATCTAGTATAAGATATAGATATATATATATATATGTGTGTGTGTGTGTGTATATATATATATATATATATAGTATAATAATATATGTGTGTATA